GTCCCGGATGAGAACTAGTTGGGTCTTGCACTAGACTGCCTTCTCCCTTTATATGGCTCAGGGGAGATAGGAGTACTCACACTGTACTGTCAGCATGGTGGGTCATTAGCTGCTTTCAGACCTTTTGCTGGGCTGGCTCCTTCTCTGCTGCTCAGGATGTCCTCCCTAAGAGACGGTGGAACAATGAAGATCCTCCTGTCCAGCCACCAGCCTGTAGGTAGGCTTCCCACCCTGGGGCCCCCTCCGAGACTCCAGCCTTCTCTTAGTCCATCTTCCACCTGACTCCAGCTCCGATGCTGTGATTACCGGCGATCACCGACAGGGATGAAGGCTACATTGTTTACCAACAGCCCTCCTCCCTGTCAGTTTGGGCACACTACTCTGGATGGTTGAGCAGAGCCATCCAGAACAGTGTGCTTACAGTGAAGCACACACCCCCGTCCCCTAGTAAAACACTCCCATCACACAGTTAATCCTTTGATTGCCCCTCATGTTAACCCATTCCTGCCCAGTGACACCAAGTCAGTTCCACCCAGTGTCAGAATGCCTGCCACAGTCCCGCTATAAGTTGCTGATCGCCACCATAAGTCGCTGATCGATGACATAAGACGCTAATCGCCACCATTATTAGTATTAAAAAAAAAAAAAATTCCACTATCTATACCGCCGTTTGTAACCACTATAACTTTCATGTAAACCAATTAATTTACATGTTTTGAGATTTTTTTTAGCAAAGACATGTCGCAGAATACATTTTGACCTAAATTTATGACGAAATTTGATTTTTACAATCCCATAAGTGCACTACAAGCTGGTGCGGTGGCGAGCACAAGTGTTGTCCTGCAACCACCAAGAATTCGCACACAGACCCGTAGAGCCCCTAGTATCCTTCCGGATTTGCTTGCAAATCCTGATTGGCAGCCCATAAATTCTGCAGCACCCGTACTTCCCCCATTCACTGCCCAACCTGGAATTCAGGTGGAAACAGTAAATTTAACTATTCCCCTTGATTTTTTGGAGCTGTTTTTCACAGAAGATCTGTATGCATTGATTGTGGATCAAAGCAATTTCTATGCACAACAATTTATCGCCGCCAACCCAAATTCAAACCTTGCCAGGCCATTCGCATGGAAACCCATTACGATTTCCAATTTTAGATTTTTTGGGGCCTAACCCTCAACATGGGCATTACTTAAAAAAAATGAATTGCGGTTGTATTGGTCCACAGACCCGATTCATCATATGCCCATGTTCTCTGCTGCCATGGCCAGGCATAGATATGAGAGTATAATGTGTTTTATGCACTTAAACGACAATACACACTGTCATTTTGGGGTGACCCTGAATTTGACCAGCTCAAAAAAAAAATGTTTTTGTCATTTTCAAAAAACTTGTGGAAAAAAATAAATCTTCCATGGACTCAATATACCTCTCAGCAGCTAGCTTAGGGTGTCTGCTTTCCAAAAAGAGGTAATTTGAGGGTGTTTGTACTATCCTAGTATTTTAACACCTCAAGAAATGTGATGGGCAGTCAGAAATTAAAAGCTGTGTAAATTCCATTATCTATACCATAGATTGTAGATGCTATAACTTTCACATAAAGCAATCAATATACACTTATTGGGATTTTTTTAACTAAAAACATGTAGCAGAATACATTTTGGCCTAAATTTATGACAAAATGTTAGTTTGTATATTTTTTATGACAGAAATTAGAAAATATAGTTTTTTTTCAAAGTTTTTTGTTTACAGCGCCAAAAATAAAAAGTGCACAGGTGATAAAATACCACTGAAAGAAAGCTCTATTTGTGTGAAAAAAGGACGTAAATTTAATTTATGTACCGTATTGCATGACCGTGCAAAAAACTTTGTAGATGCTATAACTTTCACACAAAACAATCAATATACACTTATAGGGATTTTTTTTTACCAAAAACATGTAACAGAATACATTTTGGCCTAAATTTATGACCAACTTTGAGTTTACTATATATTTTTTATAGTTGAAAGTAAAAAATATTGTTTTTCTTCAAAATTTTCGGTCTTTTTTTGTTTATAGCGTGAAAAATAAAAAGCGCACAGGCGATCAAATACCACCAAAAGAAAGCTCTATTTGTGTGAAAAAAGGACGTACATTTCGTTTGGGTACAGCATTGCATGACTGCGCAATTATCAGTTGAAATAGTGAAGCGCTGAATAGCAAAAAGAGGCCTGATCATTAAGGGGGATAAATCCTCACGATGGCAAGTGGTTAACTAGAATTTACTGTCACTCCAATTAAAAGAACTATTTTCTAAATAGGGCTAATGTTGTTACAAAGTATGGGCCTTATTACACTAGCAGCCAAGACTGCCGCTCCTCTGAAAAAAGCGATCTGCTCAGAGTTTGTTTTTCAGAGGCGTTTGACACCTAAGTGCCACACTACTGTGTGTGCAACCACGTACATTGCATGTGAATGCAAAAAAGTTGCAGCGCAGCCCCATTCACTTTAATGGGTCACATTCAGTGGGTGGCAGTGCCCTCCACGTGAAGGGGGGTGTCATTTCTGCTGCTGCGGCTTCTGCATGTGTACATCCCTGGCTGCTGGGGGATAGTGGTTGGGGGGCAGTGAAAATGTGGCTAATAGTGTGATTTTATGGCCCCTAACTGATGGTGTAAATGAGCCCTTACAAAGTGCTCTCTGTTTTGGCAGCACCCCTTCAACCATGAACCAGCCCAGTGCACCATGTTTAGTGTAAGGCTCCATTCACACTTGTGAAACTTGTCATGTGACTTTGGACACAAAGTCGCATGACAAGTTGCAGCCCATTGTTTTCAATGGCACCCGTTCAGATCAGTGCAACTTTGAAAAGGTGCCTGCAATACTTTGATGAGCCTTTTGATGCGACTTAAGCCTTGTACACATGTTGAGAATATCAGACAAATGAGTTGCTGATTATTTTTTTTGCATGCCTGCCTCATATCGAAATTTAGAGGTTACAAAAATGATCGTACGACAGAATACAACTTCAGAAGTGATGTAATGTATTCTTTCGTTTCTGAGCATGCGTGGTCTTGGTCTTCTGATTTTTTTTGTACGAATACTGTACTAATTAAACAAAATATGTTCAATCTGGTATCGTATGAGAAATATTTTTTGTGTTTGTCCCTTCAAATAATTTAGCATGAACTGTCGTGATCGGCTCTCAAAGGCTGTGTACGAATGACCAGATTATTTGAAAGCGGTATTTTTCATCTGATTTTCTGACCGTGTGTACTAGACATAGTCCCAGAGCGTGTAAAGTCAGATCAAAGTTGCACTGGAAACTGTGCAACTTTGGAGATGCACAAGAGTTAATGGAGCCTTAAAGTGGTAGTAAAGCATGACCATAAAAAAAAAAATCCCCTGCAAGGCAATGGCATAATGTGATAAGTATGCGTTGCATATTAGCACATTATGAAATACTTACCTTAGAAGGAAGCCTTCCAGCAGGATGCTGTCACCGCTGTAAGAGCTTCACTGTACCTATAGGTAAGCTTTATTATAGGCTTACCTGCAGGTATATGTTCTAAAGTGGACTTTATTACTGCTTTAAAGTGGAACTCCAGTCAAAATCTAGAAAAATAAAAGTTAGCAGCTACAAAAAAACTGTAGCTGCTGACTGTTAACCACTTGCCCTCCAGAGGATTTACCCCCTTTTCTGACCAGGCCATTTTTTGCATTACTTTAACTGACTATTGAGTGATCATGCAACGCTGCACCGAAATTAAATTTCTTTTTTTCCAACAAATAGAGCTTTCTTTCAGTGGTATTTGATCACCTGTGCGATTTTTATTTTTTGTGCTATAAACAAAAAAACACCAACAATTTTGAGAAAAATAACAATATCTTTGACTTTTTGCTATTAAACATGTCCAGTAAAACAAATTTAAAAAATCAAATTTCGTCATAAATTTAGGCCAAAATGTATTCTGCTACATGTCTTTGCTAAAAAAAAACAAAAACCCCCCAATATGTGTAAATTAATTGGTTTACATGAAAGTTATAGCGTTTACAAATGGCGGTGTACATACTTGGATTTTGTATTCTTTTTTAAACTAGTAATGGCGGTGATCAGCAACTTATAGCGGGACTGTGGCGGGGAACTGATTTGGTGTGTGACTTCCCAATGACACTAATACAGTGATCAATGCTAATAAAAAGCACTGACACTGTACTAATGGCACTGAGCAGGAAGGGGTTAACATGAGGGGCAAACAAAGGGTTAACTGTTCTGTTTTACTATGTGGGCTGTGTGTGCTTCACTGTAAGCACATTGCTATGAATGGCTGTGCTATGCAGAGCCACACAAAGCAGTGTGCATGAGCTGACAGGGGAGAGATCTGTGTTTATACACAGGTCTCTCCCCCGTCGGAGATACTTGGCAATCACAGGGTGCTGGCGAGTAATCACCAGCCGGGACCCGGTGATTGACAGCCGAGGCCGCGAATGGCAGCATGGGTAGGGCGCGTGAGCCCCCTACCTGAAAATGCAAAACCACCCATACACACGATTTTGCGCACCCCTGCCACCCTGGCCCTTGCTCTAGAAGTGTGTTCACCAGCCATTCTCTCTCCCAGGCGCCAGCATCTTAAGTGTGGACACCTGACTGTGACAACTAGGGGCTTCACAGTTGGATGCCCACTGCATAAGTAGCTCTGTGCATTGTGAATGGTCCTGTCAGGTTTCCCAGAAGATGACGGGGAAGGAGGGAAGACAACTTCCACTTCCAATCGCCTAGGCGGTCGTGGCAGAGATGGAAGCGGGTACCAGTCAAAATCGGGTTTCTTTTCCACACATAAAGCTTTCTTTTGGTGGTATTTAATCACCACTGGGGTTTTTATTTTTTGTTAAACAAACAAAAAAAAAGACTGAAAATCTTGAAAAAACATTTTGTTTTGTTTGTTATAAAATTTTGTGAATATGTAATCTTTCTCCTTCACTGATGTGCGCTAATGAGGCAGCAGTGATGGTCACGGACAGGCTGCACTGATAGCTGGCACTGATGGGCATTGACAGGCATCACTGGTGGGCACTGAAAGGCAGCACTCATATATGGCACTGATAGGCGACACTAATAGGCACTGATAGGTGGCAATAATAGGCAGCACTGACTGGCACTGATGGGTGGGACAGACAGCCAGCACTGACTGGCACTGATAGGTGGGACCGATAGCCAGCACTGACTGGCACTGATAGGCAGCTCTGATAGCCAGCACTGACTGGCACTGAGAGGTGGGACCAACAGCCAGCACTGACTGGCACTGATAGGCAGCTCTGATGGGCACTGATAGGTGGGACTGATAGCCAGCACTGACTGGCAGCTCTGATGGGCACTGAAAGGTGGCAATGATGAGGCTACACTGATCATCAGTGTAGATGTCTGCTCTGAGTAATGCCAATTACCGGCTCTCCTCTCCTCACGTGCGGTCAACATGAGGAGAGGACTGTTAATAAACATCATTTCCTATTTACATGTGATCAGCTCTGATTGGATACAACTGATCACATGACAGAGCCTGTTTCATCGGCTCAGTACTGCGATCGGTGATCTGCTGTGCCCCAAGGACACAGCGCACCACCGATCGGTGCGCATGCACAGGTAGGATGGGAGGATGTCATATGACGTCCTCCCAGAATGAGAGCTGTCATTTCTTTATAGGGCAGGTGGGAGGCGGTTAGAGATGTAGTAAACCACAGCTTGAGAAAGGAAATAATAGATTCCCCTGGAAGGTAATGTCATGATGTGCTAGTATGCATTGAAGCCCTCCAGTGGCGCCCCCAGCTTCTCCTGATCTTCCTTCCAGGTTCACGCATTCCAGCCATCAGACTGGCCGAGCCCCATGCACTCAGGACACAGCACCGTGCTCACAGGGAATGGCATGGGCATGCCTGCACCAGCTGACACCCAGAGATAACCCCTCTATGGTGCACATTTAGATGTTCATTTTACCTTCAGCTAAGCTTTAGATACAAAGGTGAATTTACTTCCACTTTAAAAAGGTTCTAATGAACTCGAGTATTAACACCCTGTGTATTCCCTTCCAGCACTGCCTTCTGTTGTCACCCCAACACACCCTCCCCCCTCACATTCAGGAAACATCATCCAGCTGCATCCCCTAAAATGCACAAGACGTGGGCGACGACGTGACGTAGAAGGGGGCGCTGGCACGGATTGGTGCGTGACGGAGCTCTAGGATTGGCCGGTGCCGTGGATAGCGCTCGCGCTTCTTTTCCCAGCATCCCGGAGAGAGGAGGCGGTGGTTGGTCCTGTCATACGTCGTCTCCGCCCCGAGTTCGGGAGGACAGACAGTTGCCATGGCGATAGACGCGAGAGCCAATGGTTAGGACAGGTGTGATGTGACGTGCCGGGGGCCAGGCCTAGCAGAGCCCAGCGAGAAGGAAGGGAAAGGAGGGGGGAGTGCAGTGTGAGGCCGGCACGATACGCCGGGGGGCGGCCAGGCAGCGCTCCCTCCGTGGTGGGCAGGTCTCCGCCGGATACCGGGCCGCGCAGCCCGGCCTCTCTCCCATGCCTCGGGACGCCGCTGCGGAGGGGCGGCGGCGACGACGAAGGAGGAGGCGGAGGAGGAGTGGGAGCGCCGCGCTGTGAGGAGCCTTGCTGCATGCCGCCGGGTAGCGGAGGGGGACGATGCGCGAGTACAAGGTGGTGGTCTTGGGGAGCGGCGGGGTCGGCAAGTCGGCTCTCACTGTCCAGTTCGTGACGGGCACCTTCATCGAGAAGTACGACCCGACCATCGAAGACTTCTACCGCAAGGAGATCGAGGTGGACTCGTCCCCCTCCGTGCTGGAGATCCTGGACACGGCCGGCACCGAGCAGTTCGCTTCTATGCGGGATCTGTACATCAAGAACGGCCAGGGCTTCATCCTGGTCTACAGCCTGGTCAACCAGCAGAGCTTCCAGGATATCAAACCCATGAGGGACCAGATCATCCGCGTCAAAAGGCGAGACACACCGGGGGACAGAGGAGGGGGGGATCCGGGGTGCGGGGGGTGCTGGGCCAGGGCGTTGTCAGCTAGAGGAGGAGGGGGGAAGGATGGATGGATGGCTGATTGCTGCCTGGGAGTGGGAACATTCCATGTACACGGCCTTCCCCACATCATCCCACATTCTCCTCTCGTCTACTCACTGCCATTGTATGCTCACCACTTTGAAGTCCTGACACTTGAAAGGCTTTGTTTGGAGTCAGGGATCTCCTTGAAAGCTGTTGATCCTAGATTGGGTCTGTTAGTCACATTCCACTTTCTGATGGCCTTTGTAGCTGTACACATGGCTCCCAATTCCTGTCCGCCATGCTTCACACCGCTGCGACTTCAAGTACCATTTACAAATTGCATCCAATGTAATTCTATGGCACTGTCCTAATAGGTGCGATTTCAAGTAGCGAGGTTTGAAAAAATAGTTCCCACATTGCTTTCTCACCAGTTCAGTGCAATTTAACTCCTATAGACTATAAGGGAAATGGCACTGAAATCGCACTTGTGTCTAAATCAGCGCTGCTAGGAAGTTGTGTGTTAAATGGGCCCAAATCGCTGCTAGGAAGTTGTGCGTTAAATGGGACCAAATCGCTGCTAGGAAGTTGTGCGTTAATTGGGACCAAATCTCTGCTAGGAAGTTGTGTGTTAATTGGGACCAAAATCGCACCAGTTTGAAATCGCATTTGGTGTGAACCAGGGCTCATGCACACAGGTATTTGGTGTTTGCCATGCCGTGTGTTCAACCAGACCCCCCATGGCTCGTTCTTTCGTTGTCATAGTAAGTTACCGGTCACCCCGCTGCAATTTCTGAAGACTTTATTGTGACTTTTAAAGATTTTCAACAATTTCTTGCGATTTGCAGTGCGATTTACTTTGTATTTTATGTATGTGAAATCGCAATAAATTGCAGAAAAACTAATGCAAGAACTACTTTAGAAGTCACCCTGCAGCAAATCGCAAATGTTAAGACATTGACATTCATTAGATGCGATTTCAGGTGTGACTTCAGTTCACAAATCGCACCGGTATGACCGGGTACTAAACATTCCTACTGTAGATGATGGTAGAACTTTGCTTTTCTCAGTGACTTGTTGCTGGACCACACTGGGCAGAGCTATCACAGCTGTCATCAAGTTTGTTTACATTTTCTAAACCTACAAGGCTTGTACCTTTTCATTGCTTTTTCACAATTCATGCGTTTGCATTTTGTTTTTGTTAGCTTGTTCTGACTAAACTAAATGGGAACTAGCAAAAAAATAACTTGGCAGTCTGTGCCCCTAAAAGTAGAGTTCCAGGCTGTTTGTGGCACTTTTTGTTTACATGTAAATATATATTATATTATAATATATATATAATATATAATTTTTTTTTTTATTTAATTTTTTTTTAAAAGCAGAGGCCCTAGAGAATAAATTAGTGGGTTTTGCAATTTTTTTTTTTTTTTTTATTTGCACAACGGTTTTTCAGATGGGGAAAAAAAAAACACTTTTTTTTTTTTTTTTCTTTTCATTTTAAAAATTCAGATGGGGGGAAAAAAACACAATACACAACTAATTTTTTTGTTAAAAGATGTTACACCGAGAAAATCACTACCAAACATGTCACACTTTCAAATTGCGCACCCCCATGCAATGGTGACAAACGACATAAATTTTAGTAACTATAAGTGACATTTTAAAAGCCTTTACAGGTTAACACTTTAGATATACAGAGGAGGTCTGGTGCTAGAGTTACTGCCCTTGATCTGACAGTGGCAATGATACCTCACATGTGTGGGACGATTTCTGTTTGTGTGCATGCGGAACCAACTAGCTCCAATTGCTATGACGAGAAAGCTGACAATTTGGCTTTAAATAACGATGTCAGGATGATGCCTGCAACCACTTGAAGTCCAGTAATGTACCAGGTACGTGACTGCTTGGCAAGTGGTTAAAGTGATTGTAAATCTCTTTTCTTCATTTATTATTTGAAAATGTTATACTTACCTGCACCTGTGCAATGTCTTTGCACAGAGTAGACCCGATTCTCCTCTTCTTTGATCTCCCCCACCAGTGTTTCTGGCTCCTCCTCTTCAGTGCGTGCCCCCATAGGATGCAGCTTTCTTTGGGGACAGTCATGCGGGCTCAATCACAAGCTGCCTGCGTCTATAGACACAGACCGCTTGGCCCCGTACCCACTTCTTCATCACTGGTTTTGACTGCCACAGCAGGAGCCAATGGGTCCCACTGCTATCAATCGGCCCAGTGAGGAGGGAGATAGCTGCTGCTCTCGGACACAGTGCTGGATCAAGATCAGGCTTGGGTAAGTATAAGGGAGATGGGGGGAGGATCCTGTGGAACATAATGTTTTATACCTTAATGCAGAGAGTTCTTTAAAGCCCATCTCTGGGCAAAAAAAAAAAAATTCTGTTCTTTGTATTGCTTCATATGTGTGAAATACCTGGTGACCCTGTCGTTCCTCAGTCTTTCCTATTTCAAACTGACCACAATAGGCATGAAAGCACATCCATCTCAGTGTGGTCATTTTTCTGTCTGTGCTGGGAGAACAGCCTGCCTGTCCAATGGTCAGACTTGTGCTGACTGACCCCCTGAACAACCATTCTGTGAGCTGGGAAGGTCAGTGCACTGCTGTTTTTCCACCTTTAGCTCTCTAAGCCCCTTATGCTGCTGAGAACAGAGAGTATGTGATCACTTATTAAACAAAAAAGAAAAAAAATATAAAGTTTGTGTGTGTGTATAAGCAAACAGAAATGTTGTGCTTTACATTTCTATTTTTATACTAAATGGGTTATTTTACAATTCAGGAGATCACATATACTTTAAAGTGGAACTAAACCCTCCTATTCTTTACAGACAAGGAAGCTGCCATTTTTGCCTCCGTTTATTCTGCAACCGCCATGGTGCTGCTCTTGTGATCAGTTATGACATGAACCATTTGATGGTTTGACAGTTTGGTTGACAGTTAAAAGTGACTTTCTTTCCCAGCAGCAGGGGATTGTAACTGTTTGTTGAAAGCAGTAAATCAGTGGCTTTAGTTCTGCTTCAAAGTGTTACTAAACCCACAACAGTAAAATCAGTCTGTATATGCACTAAAGCATGCTTGTTGTACTCACAGTGCAACCTAAGGAGTTAATCCTCCGCATCATATAAAAAGGCTGTTTTATCCTGTCTTCTCTGATCCTCCCCTTTTACTGTCCCCAATCCATCTGCTGATAATACAGAGCTCTAGGAGTCACCCTGCACATGCTCAGTTTAGTGTGTATGTCTAGAGAGTTTGTTTTGTCTTCTTTCGGAGGTTACATGTGATCAGCACAGGGCCAATCAGCACTATCCAGAGTGTCAGCAGTTATGCAGCCTCATAGGACAGTCAGAGCAGAATGAAAACTCCTCCAAGATTAACCAGTGCTCTGCTAGGCACTGAGAGAATTCAAAAGACTGCTGTAAACTGCTGATGAGAAAAGGTATTTAGCAGTTTATATTTACTAAAATAATTGCATTTCCATGTTCTGTGTACTGTGGGAGACCAGATATAGTGAATGCAGGGTCCTGGGTTTAGTAACACTTTAAGTTTAAGTTGCTACAAAAGTTATAAAAAAGTTTCTCCCTTAGAAAGTAAGTGTATTCCCTTATCCAGGTGTCCTTAAAAACCTGTACTTGGAGCTCCACAGCAACCGGTCATGTCCAATAACTGTCAATTGTCTTGGGGCCCTTTTACACTGATCAGTTGTTCAGTTAAAAAAAAAAAAGTGGATGAAAAATACATCTCTTTAAATCCTATGGAACTCTTCACATTTCAGCTGCATTTTTGTCCTGCTTGCTGCATTTGTGGTGCATGTTATGGCCCCTTTCGCAATTATCAGTTTTTCAGTTTAAAAAAGCAGAAGATTGTGTTTTTACCACATTTTTTGCAACTGAGCAGTTTGAAAGCAGCCAAAAAAAATGCAACTGACCAGTGTGAGGTGTTCCATAGGATTTTTCATGCTTTTTTCTTTGTGTTTTTTTTTTTAACTGAAAAACAAATCACTGTGAAAGGGCCCTTTAAAAACAACTCCCTTTCACAGGTGTCTTAAAAAAAAAAAAATTCTCAGAGCTCCAGAGCAACCAGTCAGGTAACTGTTGCTTTCTAGCAGTTGTTTCCAGTAAATATGAATCAAATGTATCAGGTGTTTTTGATATTTGATAAATGAGCTTCAGAGAACCCAGCTCTGTATACTAAAGAATTGCACCCAGTAGTTTTAAGCTGAGCGATGGATATAAGGTGAAAAAGATCCTAAAGTATTAAAGTATATCTAAAGCCAAAACTTCTATTTCTTATGGATCCATAGAGAAATGTTTAGGCCCATTTACACTGTTGTTCAGCGTTGCACATTGGTGTGAATGGGTCCTGAAAACTTTTCGGTATCTGTCCTTTCCTTGTGACCAGAACATAAAGTATAATTTTGTATTATCTATCACTCTGTCGCAGGACAAATGGGGTAAACCTTCTTATTAGGGACACAGCAATATACAGGGATATGGGTTTCAACACTTTCCCTCTTCCTACTCCTATTTGGCTTTAGCTAAACTTTAAAGTAAATTGATGCTCCTGGTTCTCTGTTCATTACGTTGCAGAAAAGGGGAAATACAGGGCTCAGGTTTGTAGAAGGATGTTGCTGTTTAGATAATGAACTTCCTAGCTCTTAAGGTTAAGACATCACGCTTATCCAGTCTTCAGCATTTCGCTGTGTAGGCAGGTCCTCAAAAATCCTCACTTACAAGGCAAAATACCACTGGTCCTGTGCTGGTGGTGCACGATGATGTCAGAGACTCCGCAAACTGATGAGGAGCTGAACAGGAATGGCTTCATGGGTATAGTCAGGGGCGAACTGACAACTCATGGAGCCCCCGGGCAATAGGGGATCATGGGGCCCCTGTGTCCTCGCCCACACTCAAATCACACCCAAAAAAGCCTATGAAAGGTGCCAGGGACATCTCATGGGGCCCCCTACTGACCTCGGGTCCTCGGGCAGTGCCCGAGTTCCCCAATGGTCAGTCCGCCACTGAGTATAGTACTACAGCCAAGGAAAAGTCTGTGGGAATAATATATTTCTGCTTATTCCTTAACTACTTGCCCTCCAGAGGATTTACCCTCCTTCCTGACCAGGCCATTTTTTGCCATATGGCGCTGCGTTGCTTTAACTGAAAATTGCGCAGTCATGCAACGTTGCACTCAAATTAAATTTATATCCTTTTTTCCCACAAATGGAGCTTTCTTTCGGTGGTATTTGATCGCCTGTGCATTTTTATTTTTTTGCGCTATAAACAATTTTGAAGAAAAAACAATATTTTTGACTTTTGCTATAAAACATATCCAGCAAAAAAATGTTAAAAATCAAATTTCATCATAAAT